TGTCCATCAAACGCTGAGCGCAGTTGTCAGTCGGAGCCGGGTGAGGTGTGTGTGTGTGTGTGTGTGTGTGAGAGTGTGTTCTGGTGTAAAGCACATCATATTGTCTGCCTGCAGCATAACTATTACTTCACTGATATTCTTTCAGAATTGTATTGGTTCATCGAACACCAAAACAAAAGAAGCATGGTACTACTATAGTTTTGTTGAGGAAAATATCATATTTAAGGCTGGAGACGCTGATCCTCAGACCAGTGAATAGACGCACCATAGAGCTGCAGTGTTTGACCAGTGGTTCATGCACTGACCATATCATTGTGCATCTTTAACAAAATAAAAAGACAGACCAAAAGCACTCACTGATTTCATCACGCTTCCAGTCGGCTCTGTTGGGAACGGCCCTGGGTTTTTGGGCATGCACCATGTGTTTTGGATATTGCCATAGTTAATTCCATGGTGTTTATATGCTATACAGTATATTTGTGTATTATTTTAATAATTCCGTACCATGATATAGTCCAGGCCAGTGGTCCTTTTTAAATCCAGGGCCCACACTGTCACAACAGTATTTGAAGGGCCTCACCCTGCGATCACAATTTACAAAAAATAGCAGTGTTCATAACTAACATTAGCAGTAGATAATTGTTTAATGATGTATTATTATTATTATTATTAAATGGTAAAAAAATTAGACAGACAGACAAGAAGAGTGAGGCGAGACGGACAAGATGATCGCGGATGATTTAGTTTTAAAACGAGATGCAAAAGCGCCTGTTTGGCAATAAACATTCGTGGTAAAAAAAACAGACAAGAAGAGTGAGGCGAGACGGACAAGATGATCGCGGATGATTTAGTTTTAAAACGAGATGCAAAGATGCAAAATTGGCAATAAACATTCGTTTCTTATTTAATTGGTTCCACATTGTTTGCTGATTTTTACTTTATTTAAACTTTGTGTCATTAATTTTTTTTTTTACATCAAGGTGTATATGCCGTGCCTCCAAGCTTTCTTACTCGTTTTGCTAATAAACGTTCTAC